GTTCCCATGTTAACTTTTAGGATAATCATTTCCTTGTTTGTCTTTATAGTTTTCCACATATGTATATACATACGTATATGTCTCTGAGCAACATATTTAGTTTGGGCTGCTTTTGAACTTTATATAAATGGACTCACTGTGGCTTGCTTCTCTGCTCTATAGCATTCCATCGTACATTTGAAGGCTAATAATGTCAAGCATCTTTTAATGTGTTTGGTGGCCATTTGAATGTCCTCTTTGGTTAAATGTCTTTTCAAGTCCTTTGCACATCTTATGATTGGGCTGTCTCTTTATTGTCATGTTGTTGAAGTTTTATATATATTTTGGTTATTAGATTCTTATTGGATATATGGTTTCCAAAGATATTCTCTCATTCTGTAGCTTGTCTTTTCATTTTTTGGTAGATTTTTGATGAACCAAAGTTTTTAACTTTTATGAGGTCCCATTTATTTGTCTTTTGCTGTTTGTGCTTTTGTTGGATAATCCATTGTTAAAAGCTAGGCCCAACAGTGTTGCCCCTGCATCTTCTTCCAAGAATTTTTATGATTTTAGTTTGCACATTTAGGTCCTTAATCCATTTTGAATTTGTTTTTATGTGTGGTGTGGGGCATGGATCCTGGTTCATTTTTCTGCATGCGGAAATCCAGTTTTCCCAACACCATTTATTGAGACTCTTCTTTCCTCATCAAGTGGACTTAGCACCCTTGTCAAAATAGATGTGAGTTTATTTCTGGACTCTCAATTTTATTCCATTGGTCTATGTGTCTATTGTTATACCAGTATCAGGCTGTTTTGATTACTGTAGCTGTATAATACGTTTTAAAATCAGGGAGTATGAGTTGTCCTACATTGTTCTTCTCTTTCAACATTGTTTAACTATTCAGGGCCTCTTGCCATTCGATATAAAGTTGAGGATTGGTTTTTCAATTTCTGTAAAGAAGACTGTTGAAATTTTAATCAGGATTGCATCGAATTTATGTATCACTTTGGATAGTACTGACATCTTGACATTAGGTCTTCTACTCCATAAACATGGAAATCTTTCCATTTATTAAAGTCTTCTTTACTCTCAGCAGTGTTTTATAATTTTCATTGTATTCTTTCCAAACCTTGGGAAAGGGCGATTGAGGACTCAGATCAAGTGTTGAGCAACATCCCTCTGGGAATAGCCAGGGTATTTCCTGCAGCAATGACCCCCTTCTCTCTATACTGGGACTAGGGCCAAACTATTTACTCTAGTACCTAAAAAAGAGCTTCAGGCCATTGGTTCAAACCCTGGTTCTGGCATTTGTCACCTGGGGCAAGGTGGTTTACCTGTGTTTCAGTTTTCTCATCAGTAGCAATGGAATAATAGAGTCTACCTCTCAGGCCTGAATGTGGTATGTATTTAAACCACACACACACACAGAGGGGGATCCTTCATTCCCTGTGTCCATGATGGGAAGACTGTGCCAGGCACTTACCCACACTAGCCTAGGTGGTGTTAGGGCACAGGCGTCACACCTAGCCACTTGGCCCCTCACATCCTGTGTCTCTGAGACAGGGGTAACAATAGCAGACATCCATGATTAAACTTTAAGTGATGTGTGAAAAGTGAGGGCACTGATGGCTTGCTTAATGGTAGAATTCTCGCCTTCCATGCGGGAGACCTGGGTTCCACTACTGGCCAATGCAACTCATGTGCAGCCACCACCCATCTGTCAATGGAGGCTTGTGTGTTGCTATGACGCTGAACAAACTTCAACAGAGCTTCCAGACTAGGACAGACTAGGAAGAAAGGCCTGGTGATCTACATTCAAAAATCAGCTAATGAAAACTCTGTGGATCACAACCAACAGGGCAGTGTTTTGTTCTGTTATATACAGGGTCGCCATGAGTTGGGGGTCAACTCCATGTCAGCTAAGATCAACAACGTATGAAAAGCAGCTGGCACCTAACCCGCTCTGACAAAATGTAGTTAGTAGTTCACTTTGCCCTTACGAGAACCCTGGGAGTTAAGGTGGTATTATGTCCAGTTTCACAGATGAGGAAAGTGTGTGAAGGTGGGAACCCAAGCCAAGCATGCTGTAAGGACAAAGTCAGAAACTGACCCAGGACTCTCTATGGCCAGTCTTATCCCTACTGCAGGGTCCCTGCTGAAAGACCCTAGAGCTTATCAAATCCTATTTGACAATAATTACAGGAAACACACATGGAGCCTAGTATATGCCAGGTGCTGTTCCAAGGACAGCTGATCCTCAGTACTCCCATATTCCCTACTTGTGAATTCGCCTACTCCCTAAAACTTATTTGTATCCCCAAAATCAATATTTATGGCACTGTCATGTGCAAACATGCAGAGCTGAAAAATTTGAGTCAACTGACACACATTCCTACCTGTCATGGATTGAGTTGTGTCCCCCCAAAATATCTGCCAACTTGGCTAGGCCATGATTTCCAGTATTGTATGACCGTCTACCATTTTGTCATCTGATGTAATTTCCCTATGTGTTGTAAATCCTATCACTATGATGTAATAAGATGGATTAGTGGCAGTTATATTGATGAGATCTACAAGATTTAATAGTGTCTTAAGCCAATCTCTTTTGAGATATAAAAGAGAAGTGAGCAGAGACTCATGGGAACCTCATACCACCAAGAAAGCAGTGATGGGAGTAGAGCGTGTCCTTTGGACCTGAGGTTCCTGCTCCTAGACCAAGGGAAGATTGATGACACGGACCTTCCTCCAGTGCCGACAGAGAAAGCCTTCCCCTGGAGCTGACGCCCTGAATTTGGACTGGTAGCCTACTGGACTGTGAGAGAATAAACTTCTTTGTTGAAGCCGTCCACTTGTGGTATTTCTGTTACAGCGGCACTAGATGACCAAGACAGTACCTGAGGCTGAACAAGATGACACTCTGCCTTCTTAGCTCAGCTCACAGACTGCAAACAAGTGTCCTTTCTGCAGCCTTATGATGTTGTTGCTATTGTTAGCTGCCATCAAGTTGGTCAACTCACGGTGACCCCATGCACAACAGGATCAAAGCGTATGATCTAAAGGGTTTTCATCGGCTGATTTTTGGAGGTAGATCACCAGCCCTTTCTTCCTAGTCTGTCTTAGTCTGGAAGCTCCACTGAAACCCTTTCAGCTTCATAGCAACACACAAGACTCCAGTGACAGATGGGTGGTAGCTGCATATGAGCTGCACTGGCCAGAAATCAACACCGGGTCTCTCATATGGAAGGTGAGAATTCTACCACTGAACCCCACTGCCTCATTCGCCTTATAATAGAGCACTTTTATATTAGCAAGGGGCTTCCAATTTCAGGACTCTCTCCTTCACCCTGTTGTAATTCATAGTTTTATAAAAGGCCCATCAGAATTGCTGGACACAAAGCTGGGGCACCAAGATGTTACAGGGGCAGAATGGGGCTCCCATCACAAACTCGGGTAGCAGTAGGGGTGGAGGGCATCCCTCTGCAACTCTCTCCATCAGCTCCTGTGCCCCTCACATCGACCATACGGGTCCATTGCTCCCATCTTAACTCGTAAGAGGTGTGGAGATATGAACTGCCCTGCCTAAGGTTACATTGAAAATTGGTTCTAGAATCTAGATATACTCAGATAAACGGCAACAGGAATACAGAATGAATCAGTTCTTGGGAGGACATAGGCTGCTGTAGAGAGAAGGGTGGGAATAGGACCAAAAAAAGATCATTGAACATGGTTCTCAGTCATTTGGGAAGGACAGCTAAATAATTCCACGAGGAAGGTATTACTTGGGGCTTAGCTGCAAAAAAGTAAATAAAAATAAAGCTTTTATTCATCAACTTCTACATTTTTCTTTAAAGATTTCCCCCCTTGTTTGTCCTGCATGTAATGTGTATAGATGGGTATATAAAGGAGAAGCAAAATGACGACTCAAAAAAAACCAATCTTTTAATAAAAGTACTCATAAAAATCCTAATAAATTTCAAACAGCAAGATATTCCTTAGTACGGTTATAAAAGAACATTTGGTCCTTTTACAAAAAGCTCCCCTTTAATTTAAATACATTTCTTATTTACAGATTAAACATAAAATATCATCTATAGTTGCAAAGCATATTGCACATTACAGAGAGAAGCACTGAGTATCTCAATAAGTTTTCCCAGAGTATCCAACTCTAGATTGTTTTCATAAAAACAGATTTACCTTTCTTGTGCATAATAAATAAAAAGGCGGCTTGTGTTTTACTATTTAAAACTAAACCAAAATAGCCTTTAAAAACGTTATCCCTCTGCCTCTCAGAAAGAGGGACGAGAGGGTGAGGAGTCAGGAAGGCCCACAGGTACTTGACACATTCACCAGATTCACAGCCACATTCAAAGGGGAGCAAAACCCTGAGCCCTGCTGGACCTGGGGAAACGCAGCTAGCCGCCCCCACCCCCACCCACCTTTTCACGTTTCCAAGGGATCCCTGCCCTGCAGGGAAGAGGCACATTGTGGGAGCTGGATGTCCAGGAGTGGAAAAGGAAAGAACAAGACTTTTTTTGAAGTCCCTGCTCTGCCACTCTGGCTGCGGGAATCATTCAGCCCCACCCCTAAACCTGCACTGAATCTGAAAGCGTCAAAAGAAAGACCTCTGCTGCCCCAGGAAGAAGAAACGAATCTCTGACGTCAAGTCTACAAAATCCAATGCGAAGAATTGCAGTATGCAATCATTCAGTAAACCGAGCCCAAAAGAATACGTAAGAGGGACAGTTTTATTGGGGGGCGGGGGGGAACGTGGGGGAGGAATCAAGTTGAAGTCCTCAATCCAGACTGCACAACTGCGCCTGCCAAGCCAGGTAACTCTAAACTCTCCTCTGACACTCACCTACCCAGACACTACCCTGGTGCATTTGTCTTTACATACATGGAAAACTATTTAAGTGACATGTGCACGCTCCCCAATCCAGGACAAGAAGTGCCCAGTGCATCCTCAGAACCTGGGGATTCAGTCGCACAGAGCAAGCTCCGGCAGAAGAGCAGGAGCAAACTGAAGGAAAGGCTTGAAAGTGGAAGCTGGTTTTTCACAAAAGCCGGCACAGCCAGCAAGCTAGCAAACACTTCCCTTGTCACCTACTCTTACAGGGGAATCCAGTTCCTCAGTCTCGTCACCTCAGGTAGCTCTGCATGCCCTGTATTTAGAACTCTGCAGCGGAAGAATCAGACTCCACCAAGCCTGACCAGAAGGCAGTTGTCTACAATGGTTTTGCAAAACCATTTTCATTGTGTAGACAAAGTTGACACCGGATGCTAGCTACACATGGAAATACAAGGATGGTTCAAGCTCATAGCTGTTCCAAAAGATGATGCCCACTCAGATTCACGGGCTCCTGGGGCAAATTGCTGAGCAACAGATTTCCCTGACAGCCCCCTCCGAAGTCCTCCCCTCCCTGATGCTTCAGCGCACATAAGAGAAGGAAAAGCAAAAGCCTTGCAGGATATATCACAGTTGTGAATATTCTGATTTTCAAAAAGAAAACAAGTACACTTTAAGCTTGGCTCAAGGAACCTTCTTTTTATGACTGGCACTAGACGGCATTCTGGCATCTCACCCCACAAAGCACCGACTACGTAGCGTCCAACTTTAGACCGTATAGTCTGGAAGCTCAAACACCAGGACAGCATGCAGTAACTCACTCCCCCTCACCCACACCACTGTGTACAGGGCCGGTGCCAGGAAGACAAGAAGGCTTGGGACTTAACACATGTCTCACGTCAGCCTGGAGCCCGGGAAAAACATTCATGGCACTCGAAGCGCGACGGAGCTGCCAGGCACAGAGCCCTATTCCAGAAGCCTAGAGGGAAACACCCACACCCCCTCGGAAGCAGCAGGTAAAGGGCCCGGATGAGATGGGGAATGTCGCAGCCATTACATGTCACTGCTGCCACAGAAGCTGGGGAGGTCAGCAGGGAGGGCACCTAAAGAGAAAATGGACGTGCTCTTTCCCAGGTGTCCCTCCAAATGTGTCCCTAATTGCATCACCTCACTTATCCCAGAGAAAAATATACAGGAGGGTGGGTGTGGGTATTTAAAATGGGACACTTTGGTTTGAAAGGAAAGCCTTTTAAAATATATATAGCATTCTCAAAGGAAATTCCTATTCAGTAGATGAGACACTGTTGAAAAAGAGAATTATGCTTTTAAAATGAACAAAAATGGTAAAACAGAAGCATTTTAAAACAATTTGCATAGTAAACATTTAAAAGTTAGGGGTCACACATACATTACTGAAAAATTCCCTTTTAAAAAAATCTCAAAGAACTGAATTACTATACATCTACTTTAAAAAAGAGTAACCCTTAAATTTCCAAGAAGGAATAAAAATTTTTCCCTTTTGATTGAAAGTGCAGTGGCTTAGACAGCACATATTTCTAGCTTTCAGACTAAAATGAAATCATCTGAAGCAGGGAAACAGCGGCAGGTGAGAAACACTGTGTGTGAGGCTGGGGTGTTTCTGTGGGAATGCATTCCCACTTCTGATGCTCCACAGAAGCCAGACTAGGAGGTTCAAACGCCAAGTCTGCTTTGTATGGGGCACTCGGCTTAAGCGCAAAGAGAGATACTTCTGTTCTGGCTAAGGAAGTAGTAAAAAAGAAGGCATTTTAGCACAACTTCATCCTTGTCTATGCTTGTTTAAAACACCAGGTTAAAGGTGAAGACTGGCCAAGCCATTTGCGGGAACCTTCCTGACCAACACTCGGTTCCATCCCCACTTTACTGTGGTCCCACCATGTGGTGATAAAAAACAAGCCCACGGAAACCACAGCAGCAGCTCTCACACCCAGTGACCCACACCAAAGCTAGTCTAAGGCACTAGTGTAACGCCGTATCAGAGAACAGCTCGAGGGACGCCAGAAAGTCCCGGCCATGGTTTTCTCCGACTCAGCAAATTGGCACTAGACACTTGAAACAAAAACAAAACAAACTTCTAACCTCAACACGGTCAGAACTGAGAATCCTTGGTTAGTAAGTACTAGACAGACGAAGGCTCAGACAATCTTAGGTATGTTTCTCTCCCGAAAAGTCACCTGGTTCTGGAACTACGGAAGTTCCTCAGGTAAGTTCATGCCCAAAATAAATGCAAGATGCCGTTCAAATGACCCACCGGTTAACGTCTTAACCCCGTGATGTGAGACCTTAGGGGACTGCCAGCGAGAATTCTGATGAGACCGTTATTCTTAAGCAAAGAATCCGTAACACTGTGAAGATTCCTTGGGGTGCAAATGAATCACTGCATGAACTTTTCCCCCATGCGATCAAAAATTGGTTGGTTATCTGGGGGAGAGCCCAACTATCCAGTGAGAGACAGGACGACATTTTAAATGCAATAGAAAGGGATGCCAAGGAAACCTCAGGCCTCTTTTTCAGAGAAAGTTCATTGACAATCCCCTAACAGAGGTAGCAATACTGCAGACATGGCAAGTGCCGGCAAAGGGAAGAGACTTGGATTCTAAAGTATTAAGCTGTGAAAATCAATCCAAAGATGCCCCATCAATTGTGCTTAATAACAACAGCATTTCATAAGAAGTTACTCTGCAGGTACCTTCACATTTCCAATTATAACCTCAAAAAAATAGGGGCATTTTACTGAATAGAAGAGAAACACTAAGGTATGCAAGAACTAATGGTATGTGGGTAAGCAGCTAGACAGAAATCCCTACACCATCATGGATGGCCAGACGTCTGTCCTCTTCCTTCCACTTTAGACTAGATTTCGGCATGGTGTGGGGTCATTTCGTCGATGCCTATCCATCCAGAGGACAGCAGATCAAATCAAGCCAACCATCTGGTCAATCTGCCGCATATAGATGCTCTTTAGGGGCAAGGAGTATCTCCTCTCATCAGGAACACGATTGCACTAGAAAGGAAAAAAGGAGGGGAAATGTGAATTTTAAATTCAAAGCCCTCAGGAAATGTGGAAGGACGGCCTAACCCAGGGTTTCTCAACCTGGGCACTGTCGATGTTCGAGGCGGGATAATTCTTTGTGACGAGGCCTGGCCTGTGCACTGTAGGTTGCTTAGCAGCATCCCTGATCTCCACTCAACTAGACACCAGTAGCAAACCCTCCCCCTCAAGCTGTGACAACCAAAGATGTCTCCAGATACTGCTCAATGTCCCCTGAGAAGCAAAATCACCCTAGTTGAGGACCACCCACCTAACTTAATACCTTGATAGGTTAAAAAAAAAAAAAGGATACCAGAAAGGCTGAAAAACAGCCCCAGCAAGTACGTCGTGGCCAGGACTAAAAGCTGGGTCCTTAATCCACCAAGAACTTCAAATACTATTTGAAAATACTGTGGTTTTCTGAGATTATGGATTCTTCTCATCCACCACAAAAATCTAAACGCCTAAGAGGGCTGTGTTTTTTAATTAAGGCTTTTTCCTCCAAGGACACATGGGTCTTCAGAACCAGAGGTATTGTCCCTGGAAACAGCTGTCCACATACGTTCATTACAAGCTCCTGCCCCAAAGCAGCACTGTTCAGTGCTCCTCGTCCTTTGCCAAGATCAAATCTGAGAGGTCCTTCAGTTGGTCCCAGCAGCTCCCCCCACCCATGCCTTCATGCCTTTGTAGGTGCTGTTCCTTCTGCCTGAAAATCCCTTCCCAGGAAGCTCCGCCCCATCCGTCTAGGATCTACTGAAAGAAACCTCCTCAGTGAGTCCCTCCCTCCTCGGTTTTCTCTGGCAGATTGATCTTTACCCCTGTGTTTCAGCAGCACTTCACGCAGTCCTCTCGAGACTCGGAAGCCCCCCTCCCACCTGTGTCCCCAGTGCCGGCCCAGTGGGACCAGGTCTAGTAGATAAGATGCCACCTTCCAGAAATGGGTAACACGCTGCCTGACTCCTCCACCATGCACTCCACCCTGTGAGCCTAACCTCTCTGCCTCCCTTTCATCTGTAAAATGGGGACATTTAAAGTATCGGAGCCTCACAGGGCTGCTGTGGGAAGCAAATGAGTTAATGAGCAGCACTGAGAACAGAGCCTGGCAGATGGTAGGCGCTGTAAGTGTTAGTATTGGTCAATAGTTCTCCCTCCAATTCTCCTTCCCTCTCCTTCTCATTACACTTTGCTCACATAATCACCACTACGTGGCCTAATGGAAGTTTGGGGCCTATCTCTGCTCCTGCTGGTCAACTGGGATCACACACTAAAGGTAAAGGCCTTCACTGGGACACTGAAAGGAACGCCCTGAAGCACAGTCAGTGAGGAGAGTGCGTCCCCTAACCAGGGCGGCTTACAGGTGGGTGGGAAGACCTTTTTGCCCACTGAGGCTTTTTTCTGAGAAGAGAGATGGCACCCAATGTACTGCGGGATAATGAGATTCGAGATTTCAACTGATTCAGGGTCCATTCCTCATTCCCACCTCCAAACTATCCATTTGATTCAAATAAATATGACCACTGGGACTTCCACTGGGGACTCAAGGCCTTATGTTCCCAAATCTGTCCCACCACCTATCAGGATAACCTAAAGAGTACCTGGGTACCACAAGTGGTTAAGGGCTGGCTGCTAACTGAAAAGTTGGCAGTTCAAGTCCACCCAGAGGCACCTTTCAAGAAAGGCCTGGTAATCTATGTGCAAAAAGTCAGCCACTAAAAACCCTATGGAGCAGTTTTACTCTAACACACATGGAGTCTCCATGAGTCAGAGTCAACTCGACTGCAACTGGTTTTCGGTTGCTTTTTTTTTAATCAGGAAAATCTAGGCATGCTCAGTGGAGCCGTTTTAAACGAAACGGGGTCCCTGCTGCACCCCAAGCAGCATCTTCCTCAAAGATCACAATGACCGATGACTGCTTTCCCCCCTCCTGCTGGTGGGTGACTATGCTGGATCTCTCCCAGCTGGCCCCCTAGACCCACACCCACCCTGCTCCTCCCTGCTCCGGCCCCCAAGGCTGACCTGGTGGGTTCTATCAACAGACTCCCTTGCCCTCTGGCTTCTGGTGGACACAGCCAAGAAGCACCACAGGAGATGAGAAGTGTTGGGGAGGGGGCAAGAATCTACTCGGCTGGCTCCCTCGCAAGGTCCCTAAAGCCAGCTGCATCCCTCCAGGGGGATGACCATGACCACCCTCTCCACCAGCCTGTTTGGGTCTAGGAGTGACAATGGTGCCTGCTACGCCTGCTGATTTCCCTACACTCTGACGACCCCTATGTGAACACTCTATGACACTCTTTAAATGATCCAATCTGCGTGTGCCATTGATTTCTGTCAGTACTCTGAATGACACAGTAACTTCTCTTCCTCCACATGCAAACCGTCCTGGGAAAAAGCAGCTTACATTGGAGCTGGAGTTGATGACTTTTACTTCATGAGACCTGGGCCTGTGCATGGGTTTTCCCTCTTGGTCCTGCTCGCCCTCTTCAGAAAAGAATTCCTTCCAGGGTGACTCCCGAAGAAGTTTGTCCACAGATACAATGTGTCCCTCTGTTGTAAACATGTATCTGGTTCCAGATTTGTGCACTGGGTTCTCCTCATCAAACAGCTAGTGGAAAAGAAAAAGAAAAAAGAGATAGAACTGGTCATGTAGCGTGTTTGGGAGCCCAAACTGACTCAGACGGGAGTGTCCCATGCTATCCTGCAGAAGTTGGCTTGCGCTGTCATGCTTTCTAGTAACCAATGGGTGAAAGGTATCTCTTAGCAACGGTGGTTCCTAATCCTGGCCAAAAAGCAGAGTCACCTGTTTTGTTTAAACTCAGATGCGTCCCCCACCCAGCAACCTAGTGATTCTGAAATCCCAGGGCTAAGGCACAGGTAGTTCATAAACGCTCCCTGGATGACTCAATGTCCTCCCCTAGGATTCTAGATCTACCCCCACCCCAACACACACACCTAAACCCTAAACTGCAGATGGCGGAGGGGGAGGAGGAACAGGTTTTATCCATCACTGGATCCCCAGGGCCTAGCCCAGGGCCCAGTACATCTGTCACCATTCATGTCTTTGACGAATACTTGTGCTGGAATAGGGATGGGGCTCTGAGGACAGGCACACAAGGCCTGGTCCTTTCCTTCACAGTGGGCGTGGCAGGGGTACGCAAGAGGGTGAGACAGGTGCATCCGGAAAGAACACCTAAGCCATATGGGGAGGAGCTGGTACATGAAGAAGAGGTGTTCAGTAAATGCTGAATGGATGCATACTTAGAAAATCTTAGAGGTGGAAGAAACCTTATTCATCACCTAAACTTTAGGTGATCAGAAAAAAGGAGACTCGGAGCAGGCTTGTCTATGTTTACAGAGCTGAATGGGGCTGGCCCCAGGTTTTCTGAGTTCTTTCCCTACAGCACTCAAAGGGACTCCTTTACTTCCTCCAGAACTCGCCCTGTTAATACCCCTTTGACACTAATGGCTGCTGGACAGACTAAAGGGCAGAAGAGTGAATGAGCAGCAGGTGCCCAGTGAGTATCTATTAGGTGGGAGAATGAATGACTGTGTGCTCCAATCAGTACCCATCTTCCTCAGGTTCATCTTGCAGCACACATACCAGATACAAGTATTTGCAGGTCTCACTAAGGAAGAAGCTCTCCATCCGGTCCTCTTTGGACTTGTCTATAACGTGATGCAGCGTGGCATACCCACACCTGCAAAACAGTTGTCCAGTTAGTCCTTCCTTCACTGACTCACTGAAGAAACAGAAGTACTCTACGTACAGAATAATCCACCAAAGGGTCAACTGCCACATAAAAAATAAATAATGTTTAAGTTTCAGGGCTTGGGCTGTCTGCGAACTTATTTAAAAAGTGGTTTGGCTGCGAAATCATCAAACTAGGTGGGGAGAGGGGTGTTTGCCGAAAGCACAGACACCAAGAAAATAATCGGCAACAAACTTAGGTCTAATTTAAATTTTGGTCCCTCTGCTTCTACAATTGACTTGTCATCTGGGCATCCTAAAACCACATCTCATGGGAAACTGCTTATGAGATACTACTAGGTGAAAAAAGGACAAAAAATTGAAGTATAGAATATTTATATATATATATAATATTTTAAGTTTATATACTTGATTGCTGACTGTGGAGATTAAAATGATAATATTCGAACTCGATACTGCATTTTTACACAAATAACATGAGCATTATATGTTCTTTTGCCAGTCGCATTATGCCAGAACTGCTTTACGTAATTTCAACATTTTCGTGTGTTTGTACTTGGAGGCGCATTATTTGTGGGGAAAATTTGGTATTTTCTTTACTCCTCAAATTTTTTAGCGTGTGTATCATTTATATAACTAGGGGAAATAAGCTACTTAAAAAGAACACACACAGTCTGCTAGAACCTTACAGAAAACAAGGGGAAAAAATAAAAAGCAATTTCCACTATAATGGAGATGTTTTACTATACCAAAATGTGATTTCCCTGTGAAATTAACATTAATGTCCTATTCTATAAATTAAAATGCAAAACAGAATAATCTTTCCCCAGAACAACTCAAAATCAATCAAAAGGGGCCAACAGAAAAAGGAAAGAGCTTAGAAAACTAACTTGACTTTTGTGTACTTTTCCAGACTCTGCAGAATATCCATTCCTACATGGAGGTAGAAGGGATTCTTGGTTGCCTAGAGAGAACATGAGAGAACGTGATTCAGCAAGGGCTTGGGAGACATGCCAGCAACAATTATCACAGCGCCTGCAGGAGGGTCCCAGGGAGAGAGGAGCCACCGGCTAAAGGAGGGAGCAGGGCCATCCACTTCACCAGGAAGGGTCATGAAGAAAGGACTCAGGTGTTCTGTCAGTTCATGCCAATGCACACCTATAATTTAACTTGAACCAGGGTTAAGACAGTCCACTCCAAAGAAGAACAAATACCCAACTTTGGCTCTCCTGATCCCTGCCATGGTCAGAAATGAAACGAAGCCCACCCTGACAGTGCCGTAAAAAAATCTCATTGCCGTCGAGTTGATTCTAACTCATAGCGACCCTGCAGGACAGAGTAGAACTGCCCCATCCGGTTTCCAAGGAGTGCCTGGTGGATCCAAACTGCTGGCCTTCTGGTTAGCAGCTGAACTGTTAACCACTACGCCACCAGGGTTTCTGAAAACAAATCCAGTTTCTATCCTGCCTCGGAGCGTCTGCTAAGTGAAGACAGAGGCACAGGGAAACGACCTTGTCCTGTTCTACTTACAGCACCATGAGGCACTGCTTGGGCATTCTATTGGGAGGAGGGTAACGGGAACAAGACTTTCCAAAGTACCTAAAGGAGGCCACCACACTGTCTAATAATCCTAAGAAACCAGTCCTTGGGTGGCTTACTTACTCTTCTGTCACATGCTCCTAGATGGCTTCATTAGGAAAGAAAAAATTATCTAAGATGGCATTTTTACCCCACAAATAGTTTCAGTGTTGGGGATCATCTTTAACTCATGCCCCGTGCCTCGTGCAAAAGCAAACGACTACAAGGTTAACGTCTCTGGATTACGAGAGCACAGGGTGCGGCTTCTGAGAGTGGCCCACAGTAAAACTGAAGGAGATGACGCAGGATTCTAAGAAAACAGAAAACATGCGGGAGCAGCTGAAAATGGGAGAGAGGTGGTGGCCAAAACAGAGGTATGAACCCGAAGGTGCAGGACTGAGCTGAGAGAAGAAAGCAGAACAGCTTCAGGCATGCCCTCCTCAGAGTGGGCAGCCTTACTCCACCCTGTGGGCAGAGAGGCCAAAAATGCAGATGTCACCTTTTCCTTTTTTGAAGAGAAGGTTATCTAAAACACAAGAGGTCTCTTTTCAGGCATCAGGACTATTACCAGTTTCTTAGAATGTTCCTCTATTCCATCTAGGGGCACAAATGGCAAGGATTCAGCACCATATTTTTACGCAAATAATGCGCTTGTTCTACGTTTTTTTGCCAATTGCACCCTCCCCGCCACCAGGTATTTTCATAAGTGTGTTATGCTAATTTTTTTACATGTTGCTATAAAAAAGAATTAGCATAGCATGCTTATGAAAATACGGGGGGGGGGGCACGGTTGACATAGAATGAGCATTTTATTTGCATAAAAAATACGATATATAAAAATTACTGAATAAATTTAAATCACAGCACTAATCCTACTACCAGAGCTCGTAAAAGCAGGGTTCTGCTTGCTAAGGCTTGCCCATGGTAGGCATCTGGGAAAGGTCTATTGAGCTGGGTTCAGGAATAGCTGCTTGGAAAGACTAGCAGCTTATGCTGCTGGATACGTGAAGGGATGAGGACTCTCGGTGTGTATATATGGATGGCACGCACAGAAGTATAAATATCCGGCTTACACTGTGGGGGAAAAGACATTTTACAGTTAAAGCAACATTCCTTCTGACACAAAAATAATTTACCAAAGATGAACACTGTATGTTTTTTTAAGCATTGATCAAAAATGGGCATCCAGATAAACCCCATACGGTTTCCTTTACAACCAAGAAAAATAATTTGTTTTGTTCTGTTTTTGTCTAAGTAACTATTACATAGACCAGGGTTCCACAGTACAAGTGTACAGATTTGCATCCCAGAAAAGAGTTCTTTGGTCAAATACATTTGGAAAACACTAGATACTGAATCTTCCTCTTGAGTATTTAAGAACCTGAGAAATGGATCCTATAATAAAGCCACTATTCAGCTTTGCAAACCGTTAGGTTAAAAAATGTATTTGACCACAGACTCCTATGTCCTGTGGAGCCACGAATGACCCTTAACACAAGCAAGACTACAGATAGGTGGTAACACTACCAGGGTCCCTATAAAACAATATAATTCTAGATCAATCTGCAAATGTTCATTAAGAACCAGCTGCTACAGGGCTTCCTAGTTTTTAACTAAACACAAGCTATTGTTTAATAAACTCTAGTACCTGATAGAGGAGATATGTAGATTCCACTAACTCTGGTCTCAGTGGGTAGAAGAGAACGTCAGGGGCCTGTAGCTGCCAGTTATACCTCTCAGGGAGGGCTCCGTATCGTTTCCATATGGCATAGTAAAAGGCGTGCAGGCAGATGGCATCTTCCACATCTCCTATTAGGACCTAAGGAGGAGACACAGGTCACCAGACTAAGACATGTTTCCCAAGCCCTGACACCAAGGCCCTCCGTCCCCCTCCACCACCCCACCACCCTTGCTCTTATCTGACCTACACAGTTGGAGACATAACAACCCAAAAGTAAGCCCCGCCAAACAGATGCTGTCAAATTTAAGGTCAGAAAGCTATGAACTGCATAGGAGAAGAGGTTAAGGATACTAATAAACAAAGAACAGACAACTAAGAGACAACCGAGAGGTGGATTATCCAAAATTCACACACAATTACTTTTCAGGTACGGATTTGCACATATTTAGTATGACTCTCTCTGTTCAATATCTGGGAACTAATTTCACAAACAGAATAACTGAGATACAATGTGCTGTTAACCTCTAAATCAGTAGGAGCTAGAGAATGCTCTGGTACCACCCCTCACCCCCCAAAAAATAGTTCTTTCTAACCCCTTTCATGCTACCTATAAACCATACTGGAACCCAGTTAGATGACAAGCAAAGAGTGTGCTGGAGATTTGGAAGTCACCACCCTTCTGAAAACACTGTAGCTACTTCCAAGAAACTAAGTATCACTTCAAAAGTGCCATCAGCCTATAAGACATGCCTTTACATAAGGCATATACAAATGGGAATCCACCACTTTGTAGGAGAACAGCTGGTCTGCCAGGTAGCCTTGAAATGAAGACTTGGGGGAGTTGGGAGGGTCAATTCTGGAGTTAAAGCAGTTTGGCTTTTTAGATAATTTCAATGTCCTGACCAGGGCTTTCCAATAGAAACATACTGCAAGCCACATATGTAAATGTTTCCATTTCCCCACAATTTATTTATTTTTATAATTTATTTTATTTTTCTGCCGTTGAAAATATATAGCAAAACATACACCAATTCAACCACTTCTACATCTACAGTTCAGTGGCACTGATTAGATTCTTCGAGTTGTGCAACGATTCTCACCCTCCTTTTGAGTTCCTCCTCCACCATTAACATATAAACTCACTGCCCTCTAAGGTTCCTATCTAATCTTTCGAGTTGCTATTGTCAGTTTGCTATAGATAGGTCTCAAAAGAGCACAATGCTCGAATACATATGTAATTTTAAATTTTCTAATAACCACATGAGAAAAAAAAACTAAACTAAAAAGAAACAGGTAAATTAATTTTATTTTGTTTAACCCAAAAGATCTAAAATGTAATCAATATAAAAATTCCTAATCAGATATTTTACATTCTTTTTTTGGTACTAGGTCTGGTGTGGACTGAAGTTACAGCACGTTGCCCTTCAGACCATACTTTTTAAGTGCTCACTCGACTAGCCACAGGGGCTGGTGGCTACTGTAATGGACAGTCAGGTCTAAACATTTATAACTTTGGGGACCACATGACCTGGACTCCCAGGAGAATCTTGATTCCATGATACTATTCAATTCACAAGGTAATTTTTTTTTTTTAAAACTACAACCCAACCCAAGGTTTAGCAGAAGGGGGGAATCAGAGAGCCTTGCATCTGGATCCCTGCAGCAGCACCATGTATTAGCTCCCTGGCCGTGAGGGAGCCCTGCTACCTCTCTGAGCCAGCTGCTTCACCTGAAAAGAGACCTGTCATCTCAAGGATGTGTAAGGATCAGAAATAACATATGCACAATCCAGAGGCACAGCCAGGCATGCTTCCCGTTGTAGAGCAGTTTTCCTCTTTGGATTCTTAATAACCACCCCGTCTCCCCAGAGCCCAGGCCAGGTGCTAGCTGCAGGCCCGAGTGGGGTGAAAGGTTTAGAGAGCATCATCCCAGTGTCTGAAAGCTGTCGTGATGGGACTGGACCCAGGGAACAATAAGGAGATTAATCTGAATTACATTATCTGTAATTTTACTTCTTTTTTGTTGGCATAATTGGAAAAAGAAATTAATTCACCCAAAAGTTAAAAGAAAAAAAAAATTCCCACCTCCCAAATTTCATTTTTATCTACAGAGTTGTTTGCCAGCTAAGCATGTTGTTGTTGTTGGTTGCTGTCGAGCAGATTCCAGCTCATGCCCAATTCTGGTGCACGTGCCTAGAAACTGTTGGCCCCCTTAAATCCCCAAATAAATAAAAAATTAACTCTCTAATTTCATTTAGCTCCAGACAAAATGTGAAGCTGATTCACTGTGCCATAAAACTAACTTTTTCTTAGCAAATTAACCAATTGCTGTAACGTCGACCCTGACTTATGGTGACCCCATGTGTATCACAGCAGAACTGTGCTCCATAGGGTTTTCAGTGGCTGATTTTTCAAAAGTAGATTGCCAGGCCTTTCTTCTGAGGTACCTCTGGATGGACTCGAACCTCCAGACTTTCAGTTAGTGTATTAACCATATGCACCATCCTTTCTTAGCAAATACCAAAAACCAAAACCAAACCCATTGCTGCAGACTCATAGCAACCCTATAGGTCAGACTAGAACTGCCCCACAGGGTTTCCAAGGCTGCAATCTTTGTTTTTTTTCTTTCTTGAATTTTTATTAAATATCCTTGATAATCCACCAATAATTGTCAAACCTCTTGATTTTTGGAACTATGCTTCCTATTCACTTCATCTGTAAATTGGTACGCTAACTTCACTCATCCACATGTTACATGTTCTTTCCTTTAAACATACGGAACGCCTCATGAATTTGCTTGTCATCCTTGCATAGAAGTCATGCTAATCTTCTCTGTATTGTTCCAATTTTAGTACGTGTGCTGCTGAAGCAAGCACCCAAGGCTGTAATCTTTATGGAAGCAGACTGTTACATCTTTCTCCCATGGAGCAGCTGGTGGGCTCGAATCGCTGAACTTTTGGTTAGCAGCTGAGCACTTTAGCCACTGCACCACACTAGGGTTCCTTTCTTACAAATATGACCCCAAAATACCTGCAGTCCAGGAAAGAAAGCCTGCAGAGAGTCAATCCAGGTGTTCATCAGCTGCCCACTAAACATGTTCACATTGACGTAGAGCGGGGGGTCTCCTTCTCCTTCGTTACAGGCCTCCCGACTACAAAACCAAGCAAAGCATTCAAGGGTGAGGCAGAGATCACTGGCAGAGGCAGCCGTGCTCCTGGCTCTTGAAACCAGGAATCTTGCTCGAGCTCTCTTCCTACAGCAGCCCCTGGAAGTTTAATTTAAATGGAATCAACACTAACTACTTCTCCCAACTCTTTCTTTAAGTGTGTGGAGACTGACGGCCACTGCCTGTCTACACCAGACTCTGGCTTAGGATGGCATCTACCATAGAACCAAAGCCCTCCACTCAGCTATTTTATCAGTATTTCACTCTATTTTACAAAAAGCACTTTGACATTCAGGCTTAAGAACACTGCCAGCTAATAACAGAATTTGTTGTCTAGTACAGGTCTTCGTTGGATTTGACCTGAGTAGGGGAGCCTGGTGATTTCTGTAGCAGAAAGAGTCTCTTCTCTATAGTAAAGTCCTACAACATGGGCCTGGAGGAGTCCATTAGAGCAAGACCCTCAGGGATCACTACTCAATTTAGTTTTGGGCAAAAATGCCTGGATTCTGGCGAGTCTCTTAATTCAAACACAGCACTCACAGAAGTGGTTAATGTGGAAATGAGTCTAAGAAAATCCTACCAAGCAAGGAGCTCAGTAGCTGTAACTTGCACTGACCATCTAACACATAAATGCATGCAGAGAAAGACCTTGGGCACAGAGAAATAACACCAGGGTAGAAGCCACTGGAGCGCCGTATGGCGCGCTCTCTCTAGTCATCTTGAATGCGCAAATGAGAAACGGCAAATAACTTGGTCTTAAAGAACTCAAAGGGAAAAAAATATGGTAATTTTCCTTTCTTTCATCAGCTATTAAGACCAATCCTAACAATTCTTTGGAAAGTAAAAGAACCAAAATAAGCCAGCAATTTTCCTGCATTACAGCCCTATCTGCAATAAAACCACAGTTAACACAGTAATATGTCACTCCAGTGCTAGGCAGCCTCCACAACGGCCCCCAACGATCCCTGCCTCCAGGTACTCACTTCACGGTACAGTCCCCTCCCACACCACGCCAGGGTCGGTCTGTGAGACCAACAAAATATGGTAGAACAGAATATGGCAGAATATGACAGGATTAGGTCAGCAAAAAACACTGTGGCTTCCATTTCGGTCTCTCGCTTTCTGTCAGATCACTCGCTCGAGGGGAAGCTAGCTGCCATGAGCTGCCTGCAAAGATGTCCATGTGACAGGGAACTGAGACCTCCAGCCAACAACCAGTGAGGAACAGAAGCCGGCGAACAACCCCAAGGGAGCTGGGAAGTGACGCCTCCAGCCCCATTCAAGGCCTGAGATGGCTGCAGGCCCGGCCAACGGCTGGACTGCCACCTCCCAAGAGGTCCCTAACCAACACCTCCCAACTAAGTTGCTCTGCATTCCTGTCCCTTAGAAACTGTGTGAGCTAAAATGTTTGCTGTTTTAAGACACTAAGTTTCAGAGTAATTTGCTGCAGGAACAAAGAGTTAATACACCTATTCACCCCTAAATGAATAACAAAATAACTAAGATGGGGTGGGAAGATAAGGGCAGGGATGAACAGACCCTGCAAACTTCCATTGAGAAAAGTATGAACATTTCAGAATGCATTCTGCTTGCTTTACAAGGCAACATAAGAGATGTTTAGGATTCTTACCCTCTTCTTAAGTAGTTCTGAATACTCTGATATGCAGCATTAAACATTTCTAGGTCTTCTTTTTCTCCAAAGAGAATGTAAGACTTCAAGAGGTATTCATAGAAGGAGTCCAGGCCAGCACCCAAGCCACTCTGCTTTCCAACCCAGCGGCCCGTCTGAATGTTTACAACATTGCCTGCAAAGAAAACAACACTTCAGCTCCCAAGTATCCCAGGCTTCCACTTCAACCTCACTACTCCTCGGCACCTTTATTCTTGCCAGGTAAAAGAAAGGGTGAATGCTAGGCCCTTCAATTTCTAGCAGTCATATTAGTAGCATTGATAGTCTGGAGATCTGAGAATACAGTATACGTTTCTGACACAAAAATGTGGATAAACACTTAATGCAAAAGAAAAATAGGTTTGTCATCCAGCTTTTCCTGACTGACAATGCATTTCAAAAGCCAAAAGAGTGTTCACAGCCTTTGACCCTAATTATCCTAAATAAAAATGTTTTTTAAAAGAAAAAGTTTAATGTTGTTCACCAAAGAACTGTCTATAAAATGGAAAAGATGAGGAATAATCCAAGTGTCCAACATCAGAACAGTTAATGAATGAGTATGTGGCTTTTAAAGACAACTATGAAAACAAGGTAACAACTTCAAACTCTTAAATAACCTGTCAAACATAAGGCAGAATAAAAATGTTTATTTGTATTACAATTTGAAAATTTAGAAAAGGCTGAAAGGGCCTATGGAAAAGTAAAAAAGTTGACAATTTGTGGTGATGGAATAGTGGTGACTTTTTTTATTGACTATTGTTAAGTATAACATATCTGTAAATAAAGTTTAGAACTTAAAGAATAATCCAAAATCACTTTTAAAAAGCAAGACTTTTGCAACAATCTTCTGTGGCTCTGCAATGAACAAGTTAAGTGATTTCCAAATGCCAAAAAGAAAATATTTTCTCAATACAAGACAGTTATATGAGATAAAAACCCATTTTATGAGACGAGAAACAGTTTTTAATTCTCCTGGAATCCAGATTTCTGGGGTCCATGGAGTTGGGGTGACCTACCCAGGCCATTTGTCCTTAGATGCCCTTTTGAACGTTGGGCCTTGAAGAAACTGGTTTTCTAAAAGTCACCTTTGAGTCAAGCAGGTAAACTATTAAGACCATTTTGCCTTGGGCATTGTGTTCTTTTGAAGAATTCAGTTTAAGTTTCGGGGAACAGAGCCTCCAAAGGTCAGACTGGGAGCTATGTTTTAGGGTAAATCAGTAATTATTTTAATTGTTCTTCAAGACAATGCTGTACGAAATCCTTCCTGACCACAAACTGTTTATCAGTTCTGTTCCGACCCTTTTGCCATGGCAATGCCAATAAGATTTGGTATAAGAACTTTGGAAGTTCTTCTCATCTTTGGAACATTTCTGACTCTCTAGTCAAAATGTTACCCAGATGTGCAAATTGTATATTCAATAAACTTCGATCAGTTTCTATTATTGGCTTGATAAGATTTTTGTTTTAACAGATAATATCTTGAGTTGACAAAAAACTGATAATTACTGAAGATGAGTAATGAGTACATAGGTGTTCATTATTCATTATACTTTCTCTCTACTTTTTATGTTTGAAATTTTCTGTAATAATTTTGTTAATAAAATCTTGGCCAAACATTCTCAAGGTGGGGGGGTGGAACCCCACCTAACATAGGTTTAATCTAGATTTTCAATGTACTTCCAGATGCCTAGATTTTTCTAAAATGAGAAAGCCACTTTACCAATAACTCTAAAGTCCTATATTTAGAGCCGGATATTGAAGCAATAAAATCTGCCTCAGAGGCAGTACTTTTTATAGCATTTCCATTAACAATTATTTTCAAATAGAATATGCCATGGGATCCAAATCAGAAGGGAGCCCTCAAAAACAGCAAAAGCATTATTCTTTCCCACCAAAGCTTACAGCCTCATTCTAAGCAAAAGGTCATATAAAAAAATTGGATATGGTGGACACTGAGGGCCATTCTTTCTGAGTTAATTTTCGGATCCAAGGGTACAAGATAGAAGAGAGGATGGTGAAAGGAAAGGGGGCCAGACGCACACAGTCCCAGTGGTGCAGAGAGGTGCCCCACACCTAATAATCCTGTGTCATTGCTCCGGAGGTTCCACAGGGCTTTCACAGCTCGTCTGGCCACCCACTCAAACGTGGAGTCCCCCAGCAGTCGGCTCAGAATCCCAAATTCCACCAGGAGGGAACCTGCGCCTGCCGTGCACGTCTCATTATTGCTGTCAGGAGGAACGCCTGTCTTTAGATTCACCTGGAGACAAGAAGAGACAAAGGTCTCGTGGCAAAACTCAAGGAACTCGCGGGGCTGAAGGCCAGGTCATCACCCTTGACTAATGAACCCAGCTTACTGCAGTGTGAGTCAACTCCCGCCTCCCACTGTACATCCAAGATGAGTATGGGAGGTACATTTAAAACATACAAACGAGACAATGAGAGCACCAGAGCCTTGTCTTATTCATAACAGCAGGTCTTAAGGGAATTACTACAATGCTATTCACTGAACTCCTCTCATGGTTCCACAAGCAGCAGGCTTTGGGGCTGGAGACAAAAACAAGCCAGAGAATCACAAATTTTAAGTGAGCTACTATGAATTCACTCCTGCTCGGTAATCATAAACAAACCTCAGGCTGGGAGGAGAGGAGGCTCAGCAAGGAGACGACGGCCTGTTTCATCACTGCAGCTCTGTGGTCTGGCAATTCTCTGCTGGTTACCTAAAAGGCTGACTCAATCCCCTGAGGAGTTCTGGGCTCAACAAATCAGATAACATGGGATACAATCTCCTTCCAGATCTTGGGCTTAAATCAGCAGCTACCTTCCCAATCGGTGCAGGCTTTATTTGAAAGAACCTTGAGAAGCATTCAAAAGAACATTCACTGAGCAACAGACATGTGAGGGTCTTTGGAGAAATATACCCAAGTCAAAAACGAAGCCAAAACCCTCACACTATTTTGTAGCTGGGGATATAGAATACACAGACTTAAGAATACCGAGCACAGGAACATAACTTCCTTCAGAGGAGGGATTAAGCCTGATGTGTCACTTTATGCTCAGCACACAGTAGGTGCTCAGTAAACACTGAATGAATTAAAACACATCATATTTAGGGCCAAGTTTTCCCAAAGATGGTGCTTCCCTCTGCTACCTCGGTTCCACTCTCTCCCCCAAATAAGTTAGTAAACAGAGTTTTCATTCGGAAAGAGGGAGAATTATTAACCACCACCAAACCAGTCTACCTACCCGAGGGTACGGGATGCCTGTCTTGGTGTTTTCAAAGGCAGGGAGGAGTCGCACGGCCAGGTCGTGAGCCATGTGCAGCAATTCATTATCATAGTCCTTAATGGTCATGTCGCCGAAGGGCTGCTTGGAGTCAGTTATTATTCTGTGGGCAGAAAGGAGGCTTCCCAGGACCCTATTGACAGGAAGACAAAAAAATAATAAAATCATGTTGGATGTAAATGCATACAATCTGATTCAGAATGTGAGAGAGGAAGCCTCTAATTCCTGATGGACTCAGAGGGACTTGACTAAATGATCTCTAGAAGTCCTTTTCAGCCCTAATAGTAAACAAACAGTTCTTAGTTAACCACATTGCTGAAAGGGAAAAAAGGAATCACTCATCCAAGGCTATTGAGAATAATCACACTTAATAACTTACGTTTGGTAATCTTAATCCTCTCATCAAAAAGGACTGTAGTAATTCTCACCGGAATAAATATGATCTATTTTACTTTTAGTATCCTATACCATGACCTATTTTAGTATTCTATACCACGGACTGCCAGAAGACCAAACAAATCTGTCTTGGAAGAAGTACAGCCAGAATGCTCCTTAGAAGAGAGAATGGCGAGACTTCATCTCACATACTTTGGACATGTTATCAGGAGGGACCAGTCCTTGGAGAAGGACATCATGCTTGGTAAACTAGAAGAGTCAGCAAAAAAGAGGAAGACCCTCAACAAGATGGACTGACACAGTGCTGCAACAATGGGCTCAAGCATAGCCAACAACTGTGAGGATGGCACAGGACCAGGCAGTGTTTCGTTCTGTTGGTACATAGGGTCGGTAAGAGTCAGAACTGACTTGAGGGTACTTAACAATAATTTTAATATTATTAAATAACATTTATCTCACTTGTGGAAAAACTAGCCATATAAGAAACAGAAAAGGGCAAAGCAACCAATACTAAGTGACCATAAATAACTTTTGCAGTTTTTATTACCAAGCAACTGATGAACTTCTCCAACATCCGGTAAAGAGAAGGTGAGAAGGAGGAGGAGAAAATGACCTGCTCACAGGTAGGAGGCTACCAGCTCAGATCTATGACCATGTAGATCCTGTCCCACTCTAACAGTGTGAAGAGGATTGGGACTCAGAACAAGTGTATTCATAACTTCAGTTTTAAATAAATATTACATCTATAAACTGGAATTCATGCAGTTAGTACAATTTTCAAAAAGTTTAAGTGTAACAGGAAAATAGTCACGATATACTAAGCTATAAAAGATATGAAACTGTGTGTACCGCCTGTTCCTAATACATTAAAAAGAGAGACAGAGAGACCAGGAAGAGACAGATTAGAAGAAGGAAATACATCACAATGTTAACAGTGGTTTTCTGTGGGTGGCAGGTAAGATGGGAAACTCTCTCAGAAATGTGGAGGGGCTTTCCTAGAACACAGAGAAGGAAGGAGATGAGACCAGACATAAGGAAACCATGTAAATTTGCATTAAAGGGACACCAATATTACACCCCCATTAAAGCATAGCAGTCTTTCCGTTTAGCCCAAAATATAATGACTTTGACACATCAATTGTTCCAGTTTTGATAAACATAAAAATGAAACACAGACATGGTACCCATAAGGTCTACACGAGTTCACTTTCTGGATCCTGTGGCTGGGAGACCATCAAAGGAATTTTTCTCCTTATACACACACACAAAAGAAGTCCTCAATCCATTTTATGTACTATTTTACCTTATTGTGGCCTCAAAGACTTGGACGGTGGAATCTTTGTCAAATGAAACTGTGTTGATCACTAACTTGACTGCTTTCTGGAACTCGGATGAATTTCCCATTATCTTTAAAAAGAGGAACACAAACCATTACAACAGCTTGAAGTGAAACTGAGGCTACGTGATCTCAGCAGCTGGGCCACTCTGTCTAAATGCGTGAGTGTGGTTTTGCTACCCGCGGGAGTAGAAGCACAAAAGGTAGAAAAGCACAGTTATTTCTCAGAATACATTCATGACAGGTGGCAAACCCATGTCCTCCAACTCAAGAATCCACTCTCCAATGACAAAACAGTGAAAATAATTCCTCATAAAGTCAATGGCACTCTCTTCACCTTCCCCTCCGCTCTCCCCCCAACTTTGTTCCTGTCTTACTTAACATGCAAGGCATTCAAATGCCTAAAAATTGTGGGATGGGTAAAAATAAAATGGACAAAAACTGAAGAAACAAACAGGACTTGCCCTCTGCTCCTCAAATAAATCAACAGTTTGGATGCCTGGCTCCCAGTGGACCAAAAACACCGGGAGAACTGATGGAACTTGTTGCTTGTTTCCATATGTCTATTAAACACTGGGAGAAATAGCAGTGATATCTTCTGGGGCACAGCATAAAACCAGTGACATTAACAAACAAAATATACAAATAATCAGCCCTAAGTCCTTTTTAAAGCCCTGGTGGTGCAGTGGTTAAGAGCTACAGATACTAACCATAAAAGGTCAGTTGTTCGAATGCACTAGCCGCTCCTTGGAAACTCTATGGGGCAGTTCTGCTCTGTCCTATAGGGTTGCTATGAGTCAGAACTGACTCAACGGCAAGGAGTATACAACAGGCATAGGTCTTTTTAAGAAGTGGTCCAAAATTACAGTTCCTATATCGGGTGTGTTGATGTCATACCATGCTACCCTCTCCTATAAGATGTGCAAACTGAATATAAAATGTTATAGATTAGCCTGAATTGAAATGATTTCATTCTACTCAAGATTTTATGACAATCCTAGGACTATAATGACATAAGGATACCCACACACACAAAAATCAAGGAAAAACAATTTCATTCAGACACTACGTCTTTCAAGTACGTCACCATTTCCTAATATTCATTGGTCTTCTGCATCTGAGTTTTGTTTTTTGTTTGGTATTTTGCTGTAACATGCAAACATGGACAGACAATTCTTTTCTGGGTTTCAGCTCTTTCTTTTTAAAAGATTATGCAAAGAATGCTGCAAGTTACATCCAATGCTCAGGGGATTACTGTCTTATGAGTATTTTTGCAACACATCTGTTAGAGCCTGTTTAAAATGTACGTTAGCAAGAGAAAAGGAAACCCTCAACATAAGTAGCACCTGAAAAACAAGCCTGGTGCACGAGCACATGAAAGCCCAGAGAGTCTGCAATGGAAACCACAGAGATGGGGCTGTTTCCTTGTAGATGTTCACCAGCAACAGTCTCTGCTAGCAGCTGCAGACGCTGATAGGACCTCAGTTCAAGGGGAAGATGGTGAAGGAAGCCAGCAACTCTCAATTACATATTATAATTTACCATTTTAGCCAGATGGCTGCAGAGCTCAGAGTAACCAGGCCATGAAATTCATTCACTTGGGTTTGGAAAACCCTGGATTGAAAAGAAGGGTTAAATAGGTTTTCTTACTGGAGAATGCCCCAGAGCCTTTTAAAACGCTGATATGCTTTGTGGCTCTCCAACAGGGGGACCAAAAAACCCATTGCCATTGAATCCATTCCAACCTATGATGAACCTGTGTGTGTCAGAGTAGAACTGAGCTCCAAAGAGTTTTCAATGGCTTATTTTTCAGAGGTCGATCATCAGGACTTTCCTCCAAGGCACCTTTGGGTGAACTCGAACCTCTAACCTTTCGGTTAGCAACCAAGTGTCTTAACTGTGTGCACCACCCAGGAACTCCGAAGTGGGATAGACAAGGAAATTTCTCAAGTTTATTTGGGAACAGAATTCTTCCTTCAAGGAGCATGCCTTTGGAACCTGTGTCAGGAAATGCTGAAGTATTTGTTTCATGAACAAATATTTGCACTCCTACTATATACCAGACACTGTATTAGGTGTGAGGGAGAGTGCAGTGAATATACATAAGATCTCTGTACTTAAGGAGCTTGGCAGAGAGATAAAAGATAAAATGGGGGGGGAAGGGGGAGCCGAGGGAGAAGGGGTGAACTTTCCTGCACTATATATGAGTCATAGGACTTTTCTTTAAAGCAACACCTGTAGGCTAAGTCACCCTCTGGTGTCCTCAACAAGTTAATTCTAATTAAACTGAACATACTTGTCTGGGAACATTTTGCTCAGGGACGTTGGATGACTGAGGCAGGGCAGCAGTAACTTCCAAAGGAGACGCTGGGAAACTAAAATGTGTTGCAGCTACAGCTGATAGAGTAGACATTTAGGAAACAACCCTGGATTTTCTATTAGCCAAGGGCCTAGTCCCATTTCTGCTACTTATTTAAAAATTGAGAATGTAGAGTGATTTCTCAAGCTCTTTACGAAGTCTAGATATTCTGTTACCAGCAAGACACAACTGTAATGCCATCTTAGCTAGCATTACCCCATTTTAAAACAGACAGTTTTAAACTCTTCTAAGAGAAGTTAAGAGCAAATGATTGAATGTAAGATTTGGGCTAGACTGCTTTAAGAATTTTCTAATGGTAAAAAGGCTTGCTAGATAATGGAGAGCAAAGAGGTTGTGAAATCATCTTTACTGAGGAGTTTTTAAAACAATGCTAGCAGTACTTTGGAAGCTGTATTCGAAGGGACAAAATGATGAAGGTGACCAAATACACAGGAGTGTCCTGATAATAAGTAACATTTCTATACTGTTTTACTGTTTTCAACGTGTTTCTGCGTATCTGCCCAAAAGTCTCCAGTTACCCAGAGTCAGTGAGGGAAACCACAAGATGAGGAGGTAGGGGTACCACCTAAGTCAGAGAAGGCAGTGTCCACGAGACAAGGAGGAGGAAATAAAAGAGCAGTGTTCACAGAGAGTCGTCCACACACGGGCTGGCACCAGGGCTCAGCCTGACTCCTGGGAACCAGTAACTAGGTCGTATTTCAGGGTGCCTTCTGACTTGTGAAATCTTGGCTACAGAAACTGTAAGCATTAGTGAAATTCTCTAGGGATTCCTTTAGGGAGTGAAACAGTGGGAAACTAGGAGAAAAATAGGTCCAGTAAAAACAATCAAACATTTCTTCTCCATTTTTTCAGGGTAATTTCCCTCATTTAACCTCTGATGCTTTTCCTTCTCTCCCCATTAAGGTCATTAAAATAAATTATAGCTATCAACACATTTTGAGTACTGGGTTCTCTGGAATTTGTGTCCCTGGGGGAACTCAGGGGTAATCAACTCCTAAACATCTTCCTTTAATTAATAATAAGAAAAAAAAATAAGGCTAAACACTTACTGCAAGTGTATCCAATGCATCAACAAGAGTCAATGAGTAGTTCCCCAGGACATCATTGATATTCAGATTTGAACTGAAAAAGAAAGAAATTCAAATTAAACAAAGGCAGTTCATTTTTTAAGAATAAATTAAAAAAAATAAAAGAAAGAAAGAAAACTAAACACTCATCAGAAACTAAAATTGCCAGCAACTCTTACTTATTTCGGGACTCATGGGTGGACCAGTATGGCAAAGATCCTTCTATGTCTAATACAATAGCTTTTACAGTGTCTATAAGTAGAACTGAGTCACAGAAGCAGAGACACACTTATGTAGGAGTGGACAGAACATTCAGCAGGGAGCCATTTGCCCTCTCTGAGATAGTTTTATCACCATAAATGATCTCTTCTATCCTGTCCAGCTTCAAAAAGCTCTGATTTCACAGTCATTAGGAACTAACAGAGAGATGCGACCATATGACCTACCACATGGCCTACCTGTAATACTTCAATACAGAAACTGGTCACTCCAGCAGACAATGCACAGAAAGAAATGTATACTTCGGTAAGAATACCACTCGTCTGTCCTTTGGCTTGGGGGATAGATTAACTCCTTCATACCATTCCTTCACTAACAGCTCATCCAAAAATTCCCCATTATTTCCATTAATTCTAGGGAGATGTTTTTCACATGGACCAAGGCAGGAATCAGGGTCCTTTTCCCTTCTCTTAACTGGAGCTGCATAAATGTTTCTGCCACACACATTCTCCCACCCTATGATCAACACCAGGTTTTGGTTTTGAAACAATCTCAAGAAACCACTTCAGGGGAGTACAATGAGGGTAAAGCTCCTTGGTCACTCTGACATTTTCTTTATATAGGCAGTCCCGGGGTTACGAGTGGACTGCCATAAAACCTATTATATTAAAAATTTGAGTTAAACACATACAGTGGTTTGTAATAATGAATGCACGCACTCCTTTGTGACGCTCATGAAAACATTGTGCAGTCTGGCAGTGTTTAAGTCTTTTATATGCATAGAAAGGTGAAACGTATACTATATACTAAGACAAAAACATTTGACTAGCTGACGCTCATTAAGAACCGTACGCGCCTTACCTACTAAATTCGACCTAAAGGCAGACTTAGAAATGGATCTCATTTCTAACCCAGTGACAGCCTATAACTCTAAAAACAATGGCAGCAGCAACAACAAAAAACTAATACATCCAGGAAGGGAAGAGATGGAGAAATAGTGAAATTAACAGCAAAGGTCAGCTTGAGAAATTCTGTGGGGCTCATTTATTCCTCTGCCTCATTCCCACAAACCCAGTAAGTAACTGCCAAAATTTGGAAAAGACAACAGCAAGGAAGGAAATGAGATGCCTGATTAAAGATTATATTTATTAAAGATGAAAACGGAAATTCCCAGTTTTATTTTCAGCAACAGATTCACTGACACCCTGACATCTCCCATCACACCCCCAAGCACTCTATCTGCTCCCTGGGTCACCCTGCTGAGTACGGCACAGCCTTGTCTCACTTCCCTGTGAGAGGTGGGCAGCACCTCCATGTTCTCAATGGCTTGCTATGCTCTCTGGAGACACCTCCATAAGCCACCTCCTATGTGCTTTAGCTGGAGTGACGTGGGCCTTACACGAAGGAGGTATAAACAGCTTCAACACTTCAGATCTGATCTTATCTGAATATTCCAGTTGCTTTGTCTTATGCTGTGTTGTGCCATTTAATCTAGGGCAGAGAATTTACAGCAAAGTTTTAGATTTCATTTTAAAACAAGCTATTTGTAGGAGGCTATCTAGGAACTTTAATGTCATCTCTCACAAGATGAAGCCAACCAACTGTGTGGCTGAAAACTGCACCTGCTTGTTTCATTTTTCGATTCTTTCTAACTAAGTCTGTGTCATAGCAAAAGGTCCTCTGAAGATGAGAACTGTGGCTAAAATACGCCACTCATGGCAGTGCTGGCCAGGAAGGATCTGGGTGATGTCCAACCTGGGGGGAGGAGGCCAAAGCACACAGGTTGATCCACACAGGTTGATCCTCCTGTTCAATTTTGTCAACTCAAGAACATTCTGCTGGGCTTAAATAGTTAATTACGTTGCTGTGCTGCTCAGATACAAATGGTGGCTTCCAACAACCCTCCTTATCATTTGGCATCCAAGTGAGCTGGTGAGTGAACGTGGAACTACCTTCTCTTGAGTTATACCCGAATCTGGTCAATCCGTGGCACCTGGCACCCTCTCCACCTGCACAGGCCCATGGAAAGTACTGCTAATTCTGATCATTGCACTCTTTCCTATGTTTTATTTCCTTTTAGTCTATAACTAAAACGGTCCCAGTTTTTAAATACTTCTTGACATAATGCCCAAGCAGTCACTAACAATTGTTCAAAGTTCCCACAGCGAAAAATGTATTTGCAACGACTGTGGTGGCTCCTTTTCTCCCTTCTAGGAAAACAAATCCACTCAAAGATCTGATGTGTTCATTAGAACACTTTCAATTCTTATCTACCAAATAACTGCTATACACGCTTTCAAAATGTGCCAAAAGAGAAAAAGGGGCAGGGGAATAAAAGAAAGTGCGTACTGCATATGTCCTCCTGACCCAACAGCATCAAATTATAGTAACTCCATTTATGCCATCCACCATACAAGGAGACTGTGAATTTGTTCTCTGTATATATTCTTGATCAATGTCCAGCCTGATCTGACACCTTTTAAGTGTCTCCAGCCAAGAACTCAATCTTCCAGTACAAGGCTAGGCTCCAAAGTACATGTCTTCCCCAGGAGCCAGCTGGCTGAACCACGATGACCCGGAACTGAACCCTCCATTTAACCACCACGTGTGAATGGGCATGGCATTTACCCTACTGTGAACTTTAAGTTTCCTATTACTCCAAAACAGACAAGATGGAGATGAATCTGGCTCTGACAGAAATTTTTTAATCATGGATCTAAGAAAATCAAATGTATGTGTTCAAAAAAAAAAAATCGCACACATACTTAACCTGTGACAGCTGTTCAGAAATCCACCTGGTGCTGTGTAAGCACAGAGATAATATTAACAGTCCCTACGTTCAAGGGATTGAAAATCTGGGGAGACAAAACAAAGTGAAATGAAGGTGAATACACCATTGTACCCAATTCTCCAGCAATGTTAAAATGTGGAATAGTGGCTCAAAGGAAAGGAACAAAAAGGAGAACTGAGTAAATCAAAGAAAATCATCTTCTAACAAACAGTTCACTGGAGTCATCACAAAAGACATGAGCCTGACTCTGAAGGAGGAGAAGATAGAAAGAAAAACATGGAGTCTATTTTAAGCTAGGGGTGCCAAGGAAGGAGTCAGCTTGGGTGCCAATATTTGTTTGGTTTGTTAATTTGAGATTTCCTTTTTTCATTTTAAGCAATATGGTTGAGAAAAAACGGAAATGGCTACGTACCCAAGGCCTGAACTATAGTTACTAATCACAAGATTGTGAAAGTGTAATATCCAAATGTACTCAAAGAGAACTTCTGATTTTAGATCTTGCAGCCCAAATTGGGGGTTGAAAGAAACTAACTTTGCATAGTAACCTGTAACTTGGACAGCCTTGCTATTTTTAAAGTGTTCAGGCTCACTTCCTGTTAACTCCTCACCCCACCCCCAATCAAACTAAACAAGCAAGAGATAAGCCTGGATCAAATGTGACTAAAAAGAAGATATATTATGCTTGTTGTTGTTTTTAGTTGCCACTGAGTGGATTCCAACTCATGGTGACCCCATGTGTGCAGAGCAGAACTGTGTTCCACAGGGTTTTCAAGGCTGTGACCTTTTGGAAGCAGATCTCCAGGCCTATCTTACCAGGTACCTCTGGATAGATTTGAACCTCCAACCTTTTGGCTAGTAGTCAGGCACTTAGTCTTTTGTGCCACCCAGGGACTACATATGTTTAGCATCTATATTCTGTTTCTGTGCTTTTTACATAATATTCTAATGGCTAGTTCACTCTATTTTTTTGTTAAATGAATCATATCTTTGACAACAATCATTAAAATACATTTGACAAAAAAATCTCAAAGATTTTGATTAGAGGTTACTCATTACGGGATAGGAGCCCTGGCGGCACACTGGTTAAGCTCTCAACTGCTAACCGAAAGGTCAGCCGTTCAAACCCACCAGCCACTCCATGAGAGCAAGATGTGGCAGTCTGCCCCTGTAAAGATTACAGCCCTGGAAATCCTATGGGGTAGTTCTGCTCTGTCCTATAGGATCGCTATGAGTCAGAATCGACTCAACAGCAATGGGTTTGGTTTTTTGGTTTTATTAAATGCGTTGCTGTCGAGTCAATTCCGACTCATAGCAACCCTACTGAGCAGAGTAGAACTGCCCCCACAGAGTTTCCAAGGAGTGGCTGGTGGATTCGAACTGCCAACCTTTTGATTAGCAGCTGTTGCTCTTAATTACTGTGCCACAGGGACTGCTTGGTTTTATTTGGGGATTTAAATATGCCTTGTTTCAGAGCCAGAATGTCAAAGTGCTGATTTTATATTTTTCTTGAAATTACCAAAGGCTGAAAGTAGCTAAATTAAAGGAAGAGAAAAAAGAAAAAAGAACATTTGCATTCTTTGTAAGTGACTTGTGTAAGTGTCTACTCAAGGCCACCATAACTAACCTGAGCCCATACATTTTTACATTTCCCTCAAAGACACTAAGGTTTTCCAACCAAGGGGCTTATTATTAACTTCTGGGGGACAACCCGGAGGCCTGGTGGTACAATAGTTAAGAAACTGGCTGCTAAACAAAACGTCAGCAGTTCAAATCCACCAGCCGCTCCTTAGAAATCCTATGGGTCAGTTCTACTCTGTCCTATAGCGTCACTATGAGTCAGAATCGACTTGACGGCAACAGGTTTGGTTTTGGTTTGGTTTGGGGGACAACCCATCCCAAATGTTCCCTTCCAACACTGTCCTAACATTATCAATCTGTCCAACAGCAACATATCTGTCTCAAAGCATGATGACCTTAACTTAAACCACAGACTATCACTATGCAACCAACCCAACTCCTTTCTCGTCAGCGGACTTCATCCAGAAATAAAGACCTACGTCACACATGGCTGCCACTGGGACCAAAAGTTAATCAACCACCACCTCACCTTGCTGGAGAGGTATTCTAATTCTCCAGAGAGTTCTTAAGGTTCATTAAGAAAAACGTTAAAATGTCATCAACTCACTCTCCAGACCATCACGTTCCCAACGGAAAATATTGTCACAATTCACCATTAAACTGTTTTCCTTAGGTCCACCTCATAAAAGGAAATCTCAGAAAGAAATCTCAGAGAGAACAGGAGCACTTACTGGAAGTGTTCTGTCCATGAGCCCTAGTGAGAAAAAAACAATTTGGATCCAAAATATGTATACACACCTTGATTGCTACTATGTAAAAGATGTGTAGGCATATGGGCAAAAGCTGACAAGAGAAAGATAAATTAAAAATAACTATGGGGGGGGCAGAGCAAGATGGCAAAGTTACTCAACGTTCCCATTTACTCCCCCAGCAACTAACCCCCTGAACGAAGAATAAAAACAAGCACAAACTGAGATCTCAGAACTCTGGACAGCAGCTAAGGTTTTGGAAAGTCAGGGTGAGTCCAGAAGCAGGGGAGAGGAGGAGCGAGGACAGCACAGAAGCTAGGAGAACCTACCCACTAACATCGTGAGCATGCACTCATCACAGCCATTTTGGGACAGGGCTGGGTAACACCTCAAACAGGGAACACAGAAAGGAAGCAAATTTGATGAAGGTGTAGCCAGATTTTTTTAAGGCAGTCCAAACTGGCCATGGGAGTTTGCGAGCTGTGCAATTGTGAGGGGGCGAAGGGAGACTGTACTGTTGCGAGAGAGTGCCGTTGAAACTTGCTGAGGCCTCCGACGGATGGGCAATAGGACCAGGAGGAACTGTAGGGCAGCAGGGTGAAGGGAATACTTCAGATTGATGGGCAACACAGAGGGAAAACGGCCCACACTGGGACACCATGGGAGAGCCTGTGCAGGGGCGCCCGTGAGGGAAAGACATAGAGAGCCCCACACAGGAGTGTTGAGCCCCACCACTAACATCAGCATCTGCAACTAGCTAAACCCCCCTCCTGCGCATGCATACTGAATTCCAGAAATCAAGCATCCAGAACTTCTGAATGAGCAGTAAAAAAAACTTAAGTATAAAGTGCCCTATAGTGGTTCTCAGGAGAAGATAGCAAGCCCACTGCCGCTGAGTCAATTCTGACCCATAGTGACCCTTTGGGGCTGAGTGGAGCTGCCTCGTGGAGTTCCCAGGGCTGTGAGTCTTTGTGGAGGCAGGCTACTACATCTTTCTCCTGCACAGCGACTGGTGAGTGCAAGCCCCAGCCTTTCAGATGGCAGCCAGGCGCTTGGCCACTGCACCACCAGGGCACCCAATCAGAAAAATTTTCCACAAAAACCAGAACACAAAATTTAAAGTAAAGAAAAAAAAAAAAAAACGAAATGGTGCAAGTTCAACAAAAAAATAGTAAAACACACAAAACCACAAGAGAAGGACTAATTAAAAGCAAAACATGAAGAAGAGGACATTTCCCCTATGGAGGCCGAACTAATGCAAAGAATTGATAATTTTCAGACTATGATGCTAAATATGTTTAAATAAAGCAAAAAGCACACAGAAAACAAACTAGTGGAGATCAGGAAACAAATGGAGGAACTAAATGAGAGACTCAACAAGGAAACTGAGAGGAAAAAAAAAAAAAACAAAGAGAACTACTGGAACTGAAGAATAAAGCAACTGAATTAGAAAAATCAAGAGAAACACTCAACAGAGTCGAACAGACAGAAGAGAGAATAAATTAAGACAAAATAACTAAACTTATCAAATCTCACGACAAACAAGAGAAAAGAACAAAGAAAAGAGAACAAACCCAAAAGGAAATGTGGGATTCAATTAGGAAACAGAACATTAGAATTATTGGGATCCCAGAGCACCATGACAACAATAAAGACACAGAAACAATTTTCCAAGAGAGAATTTCCCAAATCTGAACAGAGAACCAAGTCTGCAAATACAGGAAGATATATGAACACCAATCAGAAGAGACACAATAAGATCAACTCTGTGCCATACCCTAATAAAATTCTTGAAAACCAAAGACAAGGAGAGAATTTTGAAAGCAGCAAGAGAAAAATGCAATATAACATACCAATGGTCTTTTGCAAGAATCAATGTAGATTTCTCCCCAGAAACTCTAGAGGCCAGAAGACAATGGAGCAACATATATAAAATACTGAACAAAAACAACTGCCAACCAAGACTTCTTCACCCAAATTTTTGAAACGGTGTATATTTGGCTACGTGTATCTTCACCAAAAAAAAAAGGTTGAGAAGTTAGAGGGTTAATATGTTGTGGGGTTGTTAACCAATGTCATAAAACAACATGTGTACTACTGTTTCATGAGAAACTATTTGTTCTGTAAGCCTTCACCTGAAGTACAATAAAATATAAAGGAAAAAAAGGATTCTTCACCCAGCAAAACTGTCATTCAAAAATGAGGGAGAAATCAAGACATTCCCAAACAAACAGAAGCTCTGGGAATTGGCCACTACCAGACCAGTTTTACAAGTGTTACTCAAAGGAGTACTCCAAATGGAAAGGCAAGAGCATTAAATACTCATATCCATACACAGTTAAAAAAAAAAAAAATTAAAAAATAATCAGAGAAAGATCTCCAAAAAACACAAGAACACAAGTGTCTTAGTTATCTAGTACTGCTATAAAAGAAACAGCACAAGTGGATGGCTTTAACAAGGAGAAACTAATTCTCTCACAGTTTAGGAGGCTAGAAGTCCAAATTCAGGGTGCCAGCTCCAGGGGAAGGCTTTTTCTTGAGGTGGGGGAGAAGAGTCTTTGTCATCAATCTTCCCCTAGTCTAGGAGCTTTTCAGCACAGGGATCCCAGGTCCAAAGGGTGCACTCTGCTCCTGGCTCTTCTTGCTTGGTGGTAATGAGGTCCTATTCCTCTTTGCTCACTTCTCTCTTTTATATCTCAAAAGAGATTGACTCAAGATATAACCTAATCCTGTAGGTTGTGTCCTGCCTCATTAACATAACTGCCTCTAATCCTGCCTCATTAACATCATAGAGGTTACAATTTACAATACATAGGATTATCAGATCACAAAATGCAGGACAACCACACAATATACTGGGAGTCATGGCCTAGCCAAGTTGACACAAATTTTGGGGGGCACAATTCAGTCCATAACAATGGGCAATCATAAGGACAAAGTATATGATATTTTCAGGGAATAAATTCAATAATTAAATGCCACAAACGATACAACATCAAGTTTGTAAGAAATAAGCACAAAGTAAACTTATTGAATATAGGTGGTATACTGATGTTAACAGAGACACACCAACAGAAATGGGGGAGGAAACAACATATCAGGAATAGATTTATTATGTTAAAGTTGTATGTTAACATTGTTCATATGTTAAACACTGTTGCAGTTGTAGGTTGTGTAATGGAATATATGTGGTAACCACTAAGAAATCACCAAGAAAAAACATTCAGAAGAAAAGAAGGAAGAAAGCAAAAAGGATGATCACTAGAAAGCAGCCAAATACAAACAAAACCAGAAAAATCAGAATAAAAAACAAAATATGAAACACTAAAAAAAAAAAAAAAAAAAAAAAAGCAATATGAGTGAGATAGGCACTTTATTTTCAGTAATAACCTTAAATGTTAATGGTCTAAATGCCCCCATGGAAAAGGCAGAGAGGCAGAATAGATGAAAAAACATGATCCATCCTTTTGCTGTCTACAAGAAACACACCTTAGACATAAGGACACAAACAGACTAAAAATAAAGGGATAGTGAAAAACATTCCATGCAACCAGCAAAGAAAAAAGAGCAGGAGTAGTCATTCTGATACTAGATAAAATAGACTTTAAACCAAAATCTGTTACAAGAAATAAAGAAGCACATTACATAATAATAAAAGGGTCAATCCAGCAAGAAAATATAACAATTATAAATATGTACACACCCAATAACAATACACCAAAATATATGAAACAAATACTGACTAATACAAAAGGAGAAACAGACAACTCCACAATAATAGTAGGGGACTTTAACACACCACTACCAATTACAGACACTACTAAAAAGAAGATCACTA